TCTGTGCCTCACAATGCCCATATGGCAGCCTCATGTAGAGGAATCATGGTGTAGCTGCCGGAAAAGTCTCACGAGGGCATATAATCTCATGGCCATTTGGATATCTTTCCAAAGGCATAGGACCAGTGCAATACAAACTAAGCTAAACCTTACATTACTAATCCTAATGAGGCAAATAAAAAGCCTTACCTGCTAACAAGCATGTAAAAAAAATGAACTAGCTAACACTAAATATTCTATGATCATCACAGAGTTTATAACATACTCTTTGATGATATTACATAGAACTATACTAATGTGATGATAGAATAAAAAGATGAAGTAACCACCATGGTGCTCTCTTTTCTCTAGTCTTGTGAAATCTTCAGTTTGTAGACTCTTGTCTTCGTCCACAACTCTTTTCAAAATTTCTTCAAAATTCATGCTCTTTTCTTCGAACGATTGGACTTTGTGGATGTAGTTTGGATTGCTTGTCTTTGTTTGGCAACTCTCATTGGTAATCGCCTTATGTTAGAATCTTCATTTACCCTACCGTCCCAACTTTTGTCCCTTGTGTGAGACTTCTTGCTTCTTCCACTATGCATTGTTGATAGATCACCTTTTCTTGCTGCCTCTTCCCTGCATTTTTGTAACATTGCATCTTCCTCACCTTCTTCATACAAATCTCTCCCCAAGTGCACTGGTTGTGGAACATTTTGGACCATATCAAGTGTCACCAATGCAGATTGTCCTTGTTTTTTTGTCACCATTGTCTTGTATTGATGAAGTTCTATTTTTTGCAATTTATTCCTGCATTTACTCACAGGCCTAGAGCTAAAGGCAGTAAGATTTACAGGATTTAATGAATTAGAACACACCATTGCGTCCAAAAGCTTTCTCTCCTCCTCTGAAATAACTGGGCTAGTTGTAGCAATTTGATTATGTTCAGAATTTACTGTTGTATCTTCTCGATCACGTATACGAGTAGCAGCTGGAATATCTTTCTTTGTAGATGTTGTTGCATATGTAATGGTTGTCATACCTTGGAGCTGCCCAGTTTTTGGTGGTGTTGTTGTTGTTCGATCACCAGTAGGATTAGTATTTGAAGGATTGGAATCAATTTGCTGTTGCTGCCTCAGTAACTGTAGTTGCTCCTGTTGCTGCATTTTGCTTACCAGAATTTGTGTATTTCTTGGGAATAAAAGCAGGAGCATTGAGGTTCAGATTGCTCTTGGGACTTAGTGCTGGCACTTGATCATGTTTTTTCACTGCCATTGAATCAATCTCCTCTCCTGCACTATCATGATCAACCTCTTTATCAGGCTCTTCTGATGAATAACCCGCGAAACCATCACCCCAATCCTCCTCTTATCATCCTCACGCTGCTCTTGCCAAAGTTTAGATTTGATAGCCATCAACCGCATATTTGCTTGTATTACCTCATTGTTATTCCCAGTTCACACCATAGGCTGCCCAGATTCTCCTTCAAATTCCCCAAAGGAACACAATGACTGAGAGGGGACATCAAATATGGATTTGTTCAAGGTAACCAAAGGTTGTTTAACCATGGTATCTTTCATCATCATTTCATTATGGGCTTCCTTGATGATTTGTTCTACATTGGGATTGGAAAAATGCAGAATAGGTGCATTGGAACTATGAGCTTGGATGCCAATAAGTTCAGCCCTTAAATTGTTCGTTGAGTCCTTTTGTCGAACACCCAAGGTTTTACCCAATTTGGCATTGTCTTTTCCTCCTTGTGCATTGCTGGGTAATGGAACAAGTTGTTTAGACATCCCTTGATCATTTAACTCTGTGCCAGCAACTTCAGGATCCCCAACAGTATCAAGAGCCTCGAACATATTTGAGCTGGAACCTATATTGAGGTCTTTTTGTCGAACACCTTGCTTCTGATGTTTTTGTGACACATCTGTCTTTGTTGGAGATTTTGTGGATGCTACTACTTTCCACTCTTCTTCTTTTTTACCTGTATCTCCCCCCTGATTATCCTCCACTAATTTTTCACTTATATTTCCCAGCAAAATGGTCTTACACCCATCTTTATCTTTACCTGAAAACTAGGCCACAACATCTCTGTCAGAGGCTTGACCTGCAAATTTTGGGTGTGTTCCTCCAGTTAATCCTTGGAGTATATCAGCCTCAATGCAAACTTTGTCACCTGGAGGATCAGCTATAACCTTTACCATATCCTTTCCTATATTGTTTTGATCTACTGCTGCACTATCAGATATTACATTACCAACCAGTGCAGTACCATTAGGTCGATCACCATCTGTCATTCCATCTTTGGCCTTAACTCGATCATTACTGTTTTGACTTGTAAGAGCTGCAGGTTTCAAACCTTCTTTCACTCCCCTTTGATCCACCTCCTGAGTAACACTTTTACCTTTACTGCCAACTTGATTTTTATTAGAATGCCCAGGTGCAATTTACCCAACATATGCAGCATCCCCTGTAGCACCAGTTGACAGAATGGGTGCAGCAGTAGCAAGTTTATCATAAGCTTGCACTATTGGATTGACAACATTAGAAATCCATGTTAGTGCTATCAGAAGGCACATCTCGAGAAGGTGGACAAGGACCCTTATCAAGCTTTGATATATCACCACCAACATCAACCCCTTCACGACCTAAGGCAGTACCTGCTTCCAATCGTTCCTTATCCTGTTGTAAACCATCAGGTTGTTTCATTCACTATTGTACCAACTCTTCTAATCGTGCAGCCTCAATTTGCCCAGCTCTTTTAGCATTCAAATAATCCCTAGCATCCCTTTCAGTTGTTCTCTATTAGCCATCTCACCCACAGGGATTTGATCATGCACTATCCCTGCTCCTTTTCGATATTCTCAAAATATTTTGCCTTACCCCTCATCAAACGGCATGATCTCTCTTCATGTCCTTGATGTTTACAAAAAGTGCAATACTTGGGTAAATTGTCATAGGTCACCTCTTGACAAAGTTCAACTGATTTTCCAGTCAATCTATCTATAATTTGCAACCTGATTCTTTTAGGATGTTTATCTAATAAGTCCAACAAAACCTTGACCCTAGCAGCACTTGGTCGAGTGCGATCTTGCGTAGCTTTATCCACAGCAAGAGGTTTCCCACACGCTGAGGTAATTGACATTAAGGATCTTTTAGCAAAGAAGTTAGGCGGCAGACCTGGTAGACAAATCCACACCACTGCCATGGATGTTTCTTCTTTAGGATTGAATCCTACAGTCCATGGAAAAGTTCTGAAGAAGAACTCTTCACATTTTGCCTTGATATATCCAGTTGATTTTGATAAAAACTGAACATAATTGTTGAATAAATCAAATCTAACTAAAATATGGCGAAATTCCAGCAGTCGTATGTTACAACGACCTTGAATATCAAATTGCAACGAGAAACCTTTTCTAAACTCTAGTAGATCAAGTTTACCATATGAAAATTTCATGAAAACAGCTTGATGTAATACTTCTCCCTTGTGAATTGATTAAATCTTCCAATGAGAATTGTATCGTAGGTTCACCATGCACGGAAGTCACAGGAACCAATTCGATAGGCGCAGCAGATTGTTTTGGACGAACATAATCAGCATACAACTGTTTTGGATTACTGTTTGTTGTTGTTTCATTACTTCTTTGAATCACCTCTCCTACAGCCAAAGGCTGGGGAGAGATTGCAGCAGCCATGGCTGCCCAAGCTCAAGCAACACGCCAAAAGCTAGAGAGAGAAAGAAGAGAGAAGGCAGAGCAAATTCAGAGCATTTTTTGGGATTTAGGGTTTAGGGTTTAGGAAGCTTAGGGTTTTTTTTAAGCAAATATACCACTAGGCATGCTACCACTAGGAGGGAGGGATACATGGTAGTCTCTAAGGGATACCACTAAGCAAAAACTATATCTCTTAGAGACTACCATGTATCCCTCCCTCCTCCATATATCATCTGTAGGTACCTTTCCTTTCCAAATTCTCCACAAGAAGAAGGAGATTTTGAAAGGTAAACCTTAGGTCCACAGCTTTGCAAATTCAGGATTACATGGTTCCCTATGCATCATTATTCTCCATGCACTACTCACAGTAAATTTACCTGAAGGTGTAGGCATCCATCTTGGAATATCCCAGAAATCATCACCATTAGCAAAATGTACCTTCTGTCTAATATGATCAGCTATGTCTTGTGGGAAAGTTTGATTCAGAATTGCATCATCCCATTTGATCCTCAGCTCTCAAATAAGCAACCTCTTGCAAATCTTCATTAATAGGAAAATCTGGAGGTAGTACATGATATAATGCTCCTAAGCCAGTCTAATTCTCATGCCATACATTTGTATATCCCCTATTCATTTCCCACAGAATTTCATGTTCCACCTCTTCTCTTGCCTCTAACATTTTTCTCCAAACATGAGATCCTTCCCTAAACTGAACCACAGTAGGTAGTTCTTTCTTACAATACTTGTTCCACATGAAGTTGGACCATAAGGACTTAAAGGTTCTAAATCTCCACCAAAGTTTTGCAAATAAAGCCTTTGATACATCAAATAAATATCTGAAACCTACTCCCCCCTCCTCTTTGGGAAGACATAGATTTTGCCACTTTGTCCAATGTCTACTCCTTCCTTCTTCCTTATTGCTCCAGAAGAATCTTGCAAAAGTCTTATGAAGATGATCCAGCACATTGTCAGGTGGATCAAGGACTGACAAGATGTGTGTAGGAATACTTTGTAGCACACTTGAGATCAAAGTAGCCTTCCCTCCATAGGATAACAATTTTCCTTTCCATGAGTGTAACTTGCCCTTCACCTTCTGAATCAAGTCATTACAGTAGTGCTTCCTTCTCCTTGTATAAAAAATTGGACATCCAAGGTAGGTAAATGGAAAACTACCTTTAGCAAAACCAGTGATGGTACCTAGTACATCCACCAAATTTCCAGCAATCTTTGAGTGCATATAATAGGAGCTCTTTGCCTTATTGATCAACTGCCCAGAAGTATGCTCATACATAGTCAAAACATCTTCTATCTTCTGAAGAGAATAAGGATCAGCAGATGCAAATTGATGGTATCATCTGCATATGCTAAATGATTCAAAGGATCAGACCACTTTGGCATTCCAAAACCCCTAAACTGCCTGTCTTCAAACAACCTATTTAGTGATCTTGACAATACTTCTGCTGAGAGAATAAATAAAGCTGGTGAAAGAGGATCTCCTTGCTTCACACCCCTAGTTGAGTGAAAAAATCCAGAAGCCTGTCCATTAACCATAACTGAATACCAATTGTTAGAGATAAGGTTCCAAACCATGTTGATAAAGCATTCTGCAAACCCTATTTTCCTCAACACATGCATCAAATATTTCCAAGACACCCTATCGTATGCCTTTGCCATATCTAACTTAATCACAACATTGACAGGTTTACCTCTCAATCTTATATCAGTGACAATCTCCTGAGTCAACAAAATGTTCTCAAATATACTCCTTCCTTTGACAAATCCAGATTGATTTGCTGAGACCAAAGAAGGGATCTTTTCAAGTCTATCATGAACCACCCTTGAAAACACCTTGTTAATGAAATTACTCAAGCTGATAGGTCTAAGGTTAGAAAATGATTGTACTTGTGGCTTTTTAGGCAGCAAAACAAGGTTAGTGTGTGTTAGACTTAGGCAAAGGACTGCCTTCAAAGAACACAACTAACAATGTGTGAATATCTTCCCCCACTATATCCTAGCATGCTTGAAAGAACAAGCCTGAGAAACCATCTGGACCACTTGCACTTTCACTACATAATGCAAAGACAGCAGCCTTCACCTCCTCCATAGTTGGCAATCTGCATAATTCCAAGTTCTGCTCCCTTGACACCATTGATGGTACATTATTCAGCAAATCAAAATTATTAGGATCTCCTTCCTTAGTGAATTGTTTCTGAAAAAACTCCACTGCAGCATCAGAGAGTTTCTCTTGAGATTCAATCCATGCTCCATCACTATTCTGGATTCCTTTCAATTGTAGTTTTTGTCTCTTTCCATTAACACAATTATGGAAGAACCTTGTGTTTCTATCACCTTCTTCAAACCAAGTCATACCTGCCTTTTGCTTCCAGTATTGTTCCTCTATGCTCAAGTACTTCTTCAACTCAGCTTGAGCTTGTTGAAGTACAATTCTATTCTTAGTAGATGGATCTTCCTCAAACATCATCTCCTTAATCCTCACCATATCCTCCCTGATAGCTAGCTGCTTGAAAATATCACCATAGGTTAGCTTGCTCCATTTTGAAAGAGCAATTTTAACCCTCTTCAATTTCTGCTTGAACATCAAGAATGGATCCCCTATAAAGTCAGCAATCCAATTCTGCTTCACCACCTCTAGAAATGATTCATGTTTTGTCCAAAAGTTCAAGAACTTGAATGGCTTCACAAACTTCATAGCTTCCTCTCCACAGCTCATCAATAGTGGTTTATGATCAGATCCTGTTCTAATAAGGTGCTCCACTTCAATTGTTGGAAACAGTGTTTGAAAAGGCATGTTCACAAGAATTCCATCCAATCTCTTAAAGATGCACTCCTCATTTGGCCTACCATTCCACCAAGTAAAAGGACTACCCTTATAGCCAAGATCAAACATGCCACATGAATTAACACAGAATGCAAAGTCTTCATACTCCGGAGGATACACTGGTAGACCACCTATCTTCTCTTCCTCTCCAAGAACAACATTGAAATCTCCCCCAACTAACCAAGACAATTACATGTCACTAGCCAAGTAATACAAATTGTCCCATAATTCCAATCTCTCCAATGCACAACACTTAGCATAAACAAATGTCATCATAATGTACTTACCAAGCTCCTGATGGTACACTCTGATTGTCATTTGTTGCTCAGTGTCAATCAATAGATCCCATTCAACCACAGCATCAAAAAACAACCAAATCTTTCCATTCACATTAGAAATTGCAGCTTCCATACCTAGTCTTCTTCTATACTTCTGAATAAACTTCTTCTTTTGGAATGGTTCCATGAGGGCAACAATAAAAAATCCATGTTCCTTCTGCATATTGATAACTCTTTGAAAGGCTTGCTGTGTTTTAATAGACCTTATATTCCATATGAGAGTCTTGATCATCATCTTGTTGAGGTAGAGGCTGCCCTCTTGGGCAGTATTCTAGTAGGTGGCTGTAGCTCTTTAGGTTGATTTTTCTTCCCTTTCTTCCCACTTTTAGCTGCTGATTTAGGAGACAAATCCCATTCCCTTACAACAGCTCTAAAGTTTTCAGTTGTAGACTCATCTTCCTCTTTACCCTCAAATTGTAACTGCTGCTCCATCAAGGTGTGATGAATATCTTCTGGCAGTTCCTTATGAGTAATTCTGTCATAAAGAACCTGATTTAGAGTTCTCAATGGCACATTAACTTGGATCTGCATTGGTGATCCAGTACCTGAGGCACATGCCATAGGTAAAGAGTCAAGTTCCCCAGGTTCCTTTGCAACAATTGCTTGCCCAGCTGGTTCATAAGGAGTCAAGGCTACCTCATGAGACTCTGAAGTCCTCTCCATATTCCCTAAATTCTCTTGCATCAATTTGAATTGGAGCTCATACACAGATCCTAGGTTAGGGTTTACTGTAACAATACACCTAGAATTTACTTTTCCATTAGGATCAACCCCCATCCCATGGACTATTTGTTGTTCGTGGCACACTGTTTCCTTCCTAACCTCAGTAGGAACATTCCCATCAATTTCCTTCTCCAAAGAATAAACTGTAACCCCATCAACAAATGCCAAAATCTCCCCAGTTTTGATAGGGTTTACTGTTCCATTGCCCTTCTTTTTGCTCAATGATTCTTGAACTGATCCAGCTTGCTTTCCAGCTTCCTTTGTTGTTCCTTGACCTGCTCCAGTTGATGTTGCAGCTTGCTTCATCATAGAACATGAATTATCCTCAACCCTAATTTGACAGTTGCTAGGGTTTACTGTAGCAGCTCCAATATTTCCAGTTTTTTGAATTTGATTATTGCTCTCCTTTGCATTGCTTCCTATCACCTGATCCCTAGCCTGCTGATTCTTCATGACTTCCACTTCATCACTCCATAAGGTCTTAGCTAAATTAACCTCATTGATTTCATCTATTTGCCCAGAATCTTCATGAGTTTGGGATGGAATTTCTTGACATGATTGGTTTGTGGTCACATTGTACTGTCTTAATTCCTCCTTATTTGTCCCAAACCTTCTATGCACCCAGTCAATAGTATTTTCTTTTCTACCTTCAGCATCAATCCTTGTATCATTAGGAGTGGGAACTGTTTCCTTTACCTTATTAGCATTCTCCACAGCTTCCTTTTTTACTCTTCTCGCCTCAAATTCTTCCTTGTTTAGAGAAGAATTTCCACCTTCCTTATCCGGAGATTTTCCTGAAATTCCTTCCCCAATCCCATTAGCATTAGGATTAGGAGAAGGACCCTTTTTATTCTTCTTAATTTCCTGCTGCTTCTCCTTGCTATTGTCGTTAGATATTTGATCTTTCCTTATATTCTTGTTCTTACCATCTACATCCATCCGTTATTTGCAAAATTGGTTGAACTTCTTCCTCCACTTCTAGAGCTCCAAATTTATTTTTAGACATCACTGCCCCCTCATTAAGCTTCCCTTTGCCCTTGTTGTCTTCTTTCTCTTTGACCTCCTCAATAATGTAGCCTCTTTTATCTCTTTGATACTTATTCTTCCTTGCTTGCATCCACTCCTGTTTAGCATTATTAGTGACAGGTTTCCCAACCACTTTTCCACTTGATAACACCTTGGTTGAATGTGCAGCTGTGCCAATCGCATCACTACTCACCACTACTGCTTGCTCCTTCCCTTGATCTTTGCCCTCACCATTGATATTCTTATGCAATTCTGGATGAATTACCCAACATTCTTTTTCATTGTGGCCTTGCTTTTTAAAAGTCTTGCAATATTTAGGCATATAATCATACCTAATTTTAATCCATTTAGATTCCTCAGGCCCATTTTCATCAGCTTCTTCAATGATTTTAATTCTTTGAGGCAGTGTTGCAAGTAAATTCACCTCCACCTTAACCTTAGCACAACTAGGTCCTGTGCTATTTTGAGTAGCTAAATCAACATGTAATGGTCTACCTACTGCATTAGCCAATGAAAATACAAACTCCTTACCAAAGAAGTTAGGAGGAAGATCCTGAAACGAAATCCAAGCAATTGCAATTGGTGTCTCAACATCAGGAGACCACCATGGACTCCACTTTGTGCATCTCATCTGCCAAAACTCCCCTTGAACTTTCAAATAAAATGCAGGCTTAGATAATAAGTGAATATAGTCCTCCATTAACGATAACTCGATCAGAACATGTGAATCTTCAATCAAACCAACTGAACATGCACCCTTAAGCTCACATTGAATTGGAATTGCCTTCCTCAATTCGTGGATCACAGGTTTTCCATACGAAAATTTGCCCAGGACTGCCAGATGCAATCCTTGTTGCATAATTGACTGTTTAACCTCTGATTTCTTCCATCTAACCATTGGTCTTAGGGTTTTTTTTAGTAATCCACTAGGCTATGTGCCTAGGGCTAGTTTTTATAGATATAGTAAAAATAAAAAACAAAGTAGCATGTGTTCTTACTAGGAGTAAGATGAGAATGTATGTACGTTACCTCGATCCTATTATCAATTTTGGACTTATGAGGCCCGAGATTGATATTACAATATGATCTAATAACAATATGACTAATACGGTCTAAAATATGTATAAAAACTAGCCTATTACAAACATAGCCATGTATTGCAGTTCCACGCATTTGCAGTCCCTCCTTGCTTGTTCTGATGTGCATTTCTTCTGTGGCAATTCCTTTTGCATCTGCATGTGTTGGATGAGTACTCAATCTGCCTTCATTTATTTCTAAACCTTCATGATTCCAAGTACGCCTATTTGTTGTTGCTGTATGCACTGTCCTGAGGCTATTTTTTGTGTTGACCTTCTCTTTTGTCGTCCATAATTCACAAGTGATCCATGAGTGGAAGTTTGATTTTTCAGCTCTGCTGTATTCCTTGTATATGTTACTGCATGTGTGAGCTGAGATTCTTGATGTACCATATGGTATAGCCTCCAAAAATCTGGCTAGAATATGCTGTCTCATCAACAAAAAACTGGACATCTTATTTCCAGCTCTTGTGCCATTTATTATCTTGCGTATGCCTTCCCTAGCTTGCCCTCGAGTGGGTTTAGTACAAAGTACTAATACCACCACCAGGAAGTTGGGCCAAAGGAAATGCCTGATTTCAGTAGTGTTTCCTGCACCTTTGCACCCTCCACGATGGTTTAGGGTTTAGGTTTTTTTTTTAAGCAATCCACTGGGTTTGGGGTTTGGGGTTTTTTTTAGCAAAATCCACTAGGCAGTATGCCTAGGGCTGGTTTTTATATATCTAAATCAAACAAACCAAAACACAATGTCTGGAGGTCTTACAAAATATAAAAAATCAACTTTGATGCCTACACATGTCCTATTATCAAAGAAGAGTGAGATACTCCATAACCAAGTCTAAAATAATTATACAAAATAAAGTCTAGCCATTGAAACTCCATAGCCACAGCTGCCCGATGTTTGCAAAAATAGCCTGTTTTAACTTGCATCGTGATAGCCACTCTTATTCTTGTACTTCTTTGCTGCTCTAATTCCTGCACTTCACTTATCACTGTCCTTGCCCAATTGATCACCAATTCCTCCCTGTGAAATCTGCATACATATAAGATACCTGTACTATTCCAATTTTTACGTTGAGATGATGCCAAAATTTCTGTGAACCTCGAACTTCTGCTGCCATTTTCACCTTCTCCCACACCTGTTTCTTTTGCATTATTTGTATGATGTCCCTCTATATCTGTCAGTCTACCATACTGCAATGATATACCAGTCTTGAATGTGGCCATTGGTTCCAAGTTTCCTCTCCAAAAGATGCCTTTTATCCAGTTCTGTATCCACCTGCTGCTATTTCTTTTCTCTTTCTGTGACCTACAGCTGCTTCTTCTTGTGTCCATTGTGAATTGTTGATCATGGATTGTTGAGATAGTAGGATTCATTTGAAATGTGGTCCACAATGCAACCATCATTTCCAAATTTGACCTCAGGATCGATGAGCTGAAACATGTAGCCTCATGTGAATTTTGCCATATTTTGTAACCAATTCCCCATGCATTCCTGCTTGTGCTTGCATTTGATACTTCTCCAAGGGAATGAGCACTAGGTGCTAATACCACCCTTTGGAGTGATAAGTGAAGTGCAGGAATTAGAGAAGCAAAGAAATACAAGATCAAAAGTGGCTATCACGGTGCAAGTTAAAACAGGTTATTTTTGCAAACATCGGCTGCTGTGGCTTTGGAGTTTCAATGGCTAGACTTTATTTTGTATAATTATTTTAGACTTGGTTATGTAATATCAAGGTGGAGTGTCTCACTCTTCTTTGATAATAGGACATGCGTAGGCATCAAGGTTGATTTTTTACATTTTGTAAGACCTCCAGATTTTGGGTTTTTTTAGCAAATCCGCTAGGCAGGTGCGTAGGGCTAGTTTTATTAATAATAAAAAGCAAAAAAAAGAACCACATAGGAAGAGTACAAATAAGGGGGACAGTAGCACCAGTAGTGTTGCCTCTATGCCTTGGCTATATAATCACTCCTCTGCGCTTCACAATGCCCTTATGGCAGCCTCATGTAGAGGAATCATGGTGTAGCTGCCGGAAAAGTCTCACGAGGGCATATAATCTCATAGCCATTTGGATATCTTTCCAAAGGCATATGACTAGAGCAACACAAACCGGGCTAAACCTTGCCTTACTAATCCTATTGAGGCAAAGAAAAAAGCCTCACCTACTAACATGCATGTAAAAAGAAAGATAGCTAACACTAGGTATTCTATGATCATCACAGAGTTTATAACATACTCTGTGATGATATTACATAATACTATGCTAATGTGATGGTAGAATAAGAATATGTAGAAATAACAGTGATGTCCTCTCTTCTCTAATTTTGTGAAGTCTTC